TTTATTCACTTCCTCGTCTGTTGTCCTTATTCAGGAGGCAAAAAACTCAGACAAAAGCTACAGATCCAAACTTCCGGCCTCCCTCAAGTGTTTTGCATTAACTGTTCCACAGTACAAACACAATCAACTTGGTATGTTTGAATGTTTCAATTTGTTGTTTTTTTTTTTTTCAAAAATGTTTTAATTAAAACAGAATAACCAGCCTAAGCACATTGTTGTTGTTTTTTAAAGGCCACTTTAAAAATGAGGATAGAACCATGGAAATAAAATTCAACTGTTTAGGAAAGTGATAGAAGTTTGTTTTCTTCTTCTTCTTTTCCCCTGGCTGTTTCTCTAAGTCTCGGGGCTGGTGCCACCTGCTGCCTGGGCTTTCCTCTGAGAAACAGATCTCTCAACGGTTTGTTCCAAGCAACATCTGCATAGCTGAACAAACCATGGACCAGTTCCAAGGCAGGCACTATTTTCTTTATGTAGCGCACACTGAACCACGCTGGATTTCTTTTTAAAACATTTTTTTAAAAAGTCTTATTAAATATCCAAATGTATGTGCACGAACTTCCCCCCATATGTAACTTTTTTTTTAATTGGTAGTAAAATACACATAACATAAAATTTACCATTTTGACCATTTCTCCCATATGTCTTTTAAAGTCAGTTAATAGGAAAAGGTAAAGGGTGCATTCATTCACCAAAATCAAGCCTCCTTGTCACCTTTCCAGGCCAGTGAAAATAAATCAATACATATGGACCTAGAACAGGATTTGGCAAAGTACAGCCTGTGGGCCAAACCTGGCCCACTGCCTGTTTTTGTATGGCTCATGAGCTAAGAATGGTTTTTAAATTTTTAAATGATTGAAAACAATCAATTTGTGTGACATATAAAAATTGCATAAAATTTAAATTTCCGTGTCCTTAAAGTTTTATTGGGGCACAGCCACGCCAATTCATTTACATTTTGTCTATGGCTGGCTGTTTTTGTTCTACAAAGTCAGAGTTGAGTAATTGCAACAGAGTATGTGGCCCATGAAGTCTAAATTATTTAGTCTGGCCCTTTATAAAAAAACCCCAAAAACATTTGCCAACACCTGACCTCGATGGAATTATAGGCTCAAAAATCCTAAACTAAAGTTGGCATATAGCCCACCACCAAAAATCCCTAATCTGTACTATGAAGGTATTTAAAGCAATACATTTTATCTTCATTATTTATTGCTGTTGATCCAACTATGTTAAATCATATGGAAGAGTGTCAATAATATCTATATTAAGTGCAACAACTTGTTTATTACTAATGAGCCTAAGTGGACCTTCTTTTTGGGTTAAGATTTATAAAATGTCTCATTGCATATCTCAAACCTTTAAATAGCTTTGTCTAAGGGGCCAAATCAAATGTTCACAAAAAGACCAGGGTTCTTTGATACTGGGTGAGTTTTGACAGTTTTGTGTTTCTTCTTAAAATAGTCAAAGCAGGAAAGTAACTGGTATGCATGCCAGTCCACTTTACTCCTCTCAGACCCTCTGTTGCAAACAGGTAATTCTATTAACATGAAGGAAGTCCCCAAGAGGGACAGGGCTCTGTACAGTGTGAAGCTCTCCCTGTTAACTGAACTCACAGGTTGTTGTTTTTTGGGTTTTTTTTAAAGCTTGCTCCTCCCTGAAGAGCGCATATCTGTTTGTATTTATTTTTTTTAATATATTTTATTGATTTTTTACAGAGAGGAAGGGAGAGGGATAGAAAGTTAGAAACATCGATGAGAGAGAAACATCGATCAGCTGCCTCCTGCACACTCCCTACTGGGGATGTGCCCACAACCAAGGTACATGCCTTTGACCGGAATCGAACCTGGGACCCTTCAGTCCGCAGGCCGACGCTCTATCCACTGAGCTAACCCAGTCAGGTCAGAACTCACAGGTTTTATGGCAAGAATACACTGGCTAATAGGATGAATTCTAGGGGAGGACTTAGAGGAGAATGAGCATCAACTATAAATCGCAGTTCACGGCATCTGTAACCTGAGTTGAGAAAGCGCACCTGATAGCCAAATGTTGTGAAACACCCAAGCAGGTAGTTTGCCTCTGACAGAAAACTCAGAGAGCTGACGTCCACCCAGGCTTCTCTATTCTTCCTACCTCGTGGCTCTCCCCTGCAGGTCAATACATTCCAGATGGGAGTTCAACTTCGAAAAGCCCATCAGCCCCATGGCCCTGGCTGCTTTCCTCCTTAAAAAAGGGAGTCTAGATTCCACCATTAACCTCTATCTTCCTCCTTATCAGTTGGGAAGGAAGAAGAGAGTCTCAAAGGAAAAATGGAAAGGAGAAGAGAGATCATTTGGGGTTGGCTATACACTGTAATTAGAAGTAGCATTGATGGGGAATGAGCTAACTGTTTTTATAAAAGTCAGCATTCAAAAATGCAAACCACCAGTAATTTAAATATTACAAAATTGTACAGAATATAAGTACTTGAAATAATTTTTTCCATCCACAAAATTCTAGAGAAAATTACAGTATCAGAAAATATAAAATGGTAAGTTTGGTATATCCTCGGAAAAAAATGTGTTTGGTTGGGGTTTTTTTGGTCTTTTTTTTATTATTATTATTGGAAAGGATTTTAAAAACTAGTGGGCAGGCTCCAGATGGGATATGATGCTCAAGACCATGTGGTATCTCCCTAAAACTGCTTCCTGGAAGTCGGAGACGCTCTGCAGCACCAGGACCAAAGGAAAAAGAGCGGATGAGGCTCACTGAGTTGGGATCTTGGGCCGCTTATCCTCAGTCACTTCCCCGTGGTTATTTACTTGTCCTGACCTCAGGCTCCCAAAGTAAAGCACACCGAGGTCTGAGGTCCAGACTACGGAAGAGCTGCTGCATCTGACCCTTCCTGGGGGAGCCAGGGATGCCACCTCCTCACAGTGTAAGCAGTGTGAGCCGAGTTGGCTCACCTAACACTTTTCCGAGCGACTCCTCTGCCCTTCCCACCAGGGGACCAGTTTACGTCCACCAGCACCTCTCTCCTCGGAGGACTTTAAATCCTGACCACACAGATGGAAAGCAGTGCGAAGGGGTTACTAGGTTACAGTGATGTTGACATATCCTGGCTCTCCCAAAGTCCCTCCTTCATTCCTCACATACGGCAAACAGTAGAAGCGATCAGACTGGTGCAGAAGTTTATGTACAAGTCTAGAAGGCCGCCACCCATCACTCAGAAACCACTCCCTAAGCCTAAGGTTTACAATACTTGGAGACACCCCCCCCCACCCGCCCTCCAAAACACACACACACACACACACACACACACACACACACACACCTAAAGCCAAGCTTTGCCTTTTACACGGATTAATCAGGCTGGAAGCTCAGAGCATTCTCAGGGCAAATGAGGTGCCCAGCACTTGGTGAACTGTAAAGCACTATAAAAAAAAAGTATTATTACAAATATATGGATCGATTGATTCGATTGCCTTCTCTACGCAGGGGTGTACCTGCAATATATCACTTCACCTTCACAGCCCCCCGGAAGGCGGTCATCATTCTCATCCCACCTTTACAGGCGCGGAGAGTGAGGCTCAGAGAGCTGAAGGCGGGGCGCAGCCACGCTGAAAATCACAACACCAAGTCCTAGCCTTTTCACGCATCCACGCTGCTGAGTAAGCAAAGCAACTCTGGGGTTTTCTCTCAGCAGCAAAAACTCCTGACTTTCCAACATCACAGCCTGCGACCCTGGTGGAGACCCCCGAGGGGGGCCTTCCTGCTCGGACACTCCGGGGACGAGCTCCTGCCTCCTTTTCCACTCGCGCCCCGTCTCATCGCCCCGACAACCTGCAGCGAAATGCAACCAACCGGGCCGGACAACGCCCTCTCGCCTCTCAGCGTGGAGAGGGTTCTGCTGCACGGAACCGGGCCGGACAACGCCCTCTCGCCTCTCAACGTGGAGAGGGTTCTGTTGCACGGAAGGGTGTGCGTGGAGCAGCGTCCCAGCTTCCATCCCGGTCCGGGGCCCCACCTCGGGGAGACCTGGCCTCGGCCTCGGCCTGGGGGGCGGTGACCCTGTTCAAAGTAGGGGGACTCTGCATCGCACCCCTAAGCTCTGCAGGGGAGCCGTGTCCCATCACCTCTTCCCTCCTTCCCCCCTCCCTTCCTTCCTCTCTCTGAGCTGGGCCGGCACCTGAGTCACCGGGAAGTTCAAAGCGGCCCGGGGGGCAGCGAGGGGGCGCTCGGGCGGCGAACAGCGGGTGCGCCCGGGACCTGCGACCTGCAGAGCCGGCAAGTCGACCCGGTTCCCCGCGTGTTGGGCCAATGGAGCCGGGCGCCCGCTCCCCTCCGCTGCGCGCCCGCCCCTGAGCCGGGAGGCGCTGGGGTCCCCGGGTGCAGGGGGCGCGGGGGCGCAGTTGTGGGGCTTGCGAGGGGGTCCTGGCCCGGGAGGGGGTGTCGCTGGGGGGCTGGGGGAGGAGTGGCGGCGTCACCAGGCGGGGTGGGGGGTCGGGGGGGGAGTGTCCGGGCCCGAGGTGCGCCGTGGGAGGCTGAAGGACGGGGTCCCGGGAGGCACTGAGGCGGAGAGGGCGTCCTGGCCTGGGGGGCGTCGCGGGGTGACTCCCAGGTCCTGAGGCAGGTGGGCACCACTGGGCCCGACGGGGCGTCGCTGAGGGCCCGGGGGGGGGCGAGGGGGGTCCGGGTCCTGAGGAGGTACCGGCCCGACCCGAGGGGGCGTCGCTGAGGGGCTTGGGGGAGCCCGGGTCCTGAGGGGGTACCGGCCCGACCCGAGGGGGAGTCGCTGAGGGACCTGGGGGAGTCCGGGTCCTGAGGAGGTACCGGCCGGACCCGAGGGGGCGTCGCTGAGGGGCTTGGGGGAGCCCGGGGCCTGAGCGGGTACCGGCCCGGCCCGAGGGGGCGTCGCTGAGGGGCCTGGAGAAGGGGTCCCGGAAGGTAGTGCGAAGGGACGGGGTTCCCGGCGGCCCCCCGGGCTCGCTTTGCACGGGGCCGGCGACGGGGCGCTCACTCACCGGGTCCGGGGCCGAGGCCGGGGCCGGGCGCGGGCCGGGCCGCCAGCGTGAGCGCGGCGACGGAGAGCAGGGCGAGGCGGGCGGCGGGCGGCGCCATGGGCGTCAGTGCGGGGCCCTGGGGCGCGGCCCGCGGGAGAGGGGGCAGCGCGGGGAGCCGGGGGCGGCCATGGGAGCGGGACGCGGGGCGCGGACGTGGCCCCGCCCCGGCCGCCGGCCGCCCGCCCCGCCCCGGCCCGCCCTCCCCAGCGCCGCCACCGCCCCGGCCGCCGGGCCCGCCCGGCCGCTCCGCGAGGCCCGAGACGGAGCCGACTGCGCACGCCCGCTCCTCCCACTCGCCCGCCGCGCTGCCACTCAAGCGCCAGGAGCCGCCTACGTTCCCCGCCTCACCTGGGCCCGCCCCCGCGGAGCAGCTTATTGGTCCGCTCGCGGGGCGGGGCCAACAGGTGAGGGGCGTGGCTCTGGACCTCGCCTCCGAGCCCCTCGGCCGGGCTGGAGCGGGCTGGGCGCCCAGTGACCCCGGGTCCACCCTCACTCGGGTGGTGACCCAAACGCAGGCACAACCACGGGGAGAATAATCAGAACAGCCGTTTGCAAACCAGAGGCTCTCCCCTGCTTGGCTCACCGTCGTGGTTAAGAAAAGGGTGCAGCCCTAACCGGTTTGGCTCAGTGGATAGAGCGTCAGCCTGCGGACTGAAGGGTCGCAGGTTCGATTCCGGCCAAGGGCATGTACCTTGGTTGCGGGCACATCCCCAGTAGGGAGATGTGCAGGAGGCAGCTGGTCGATGTTTCTGTCTCATCGATGTTTCTAGCTCTATCCTCTACCTTCCTCTCTGTAAAAAATCAATCATATATTTATTTATTTATTTATTTTAAAGGGTGCAGTGGAGCCAGCGGTGCCTGTTCCCATCCGGTCACCTGGTACCCTGGGCGACATTCAAGGGAAAACAGCTCCCTTGTTCCCCATTTCCTCGCCTGTGAAACGGGGGCGTTGACAGCAACTGCTCCCACGGCGGTGGAAACTTTTTACCCGCGCACAGTAGGAGCTTGGGAAATGCTGGGCTCCTTTCACCACCCCCATTCGTGCAGCCACAGAAGCAGCACACCCAGCCCGGTTCCGAATCCTATCGCCCATCCTTTGTCCACTGGGGCCAGTTTCCTACTCCGTCTGGGCCTCAGTCGTCTGCAAAACGGGCCTCATAAAAGACCTTCACGATAGTAGGTGACAGCGAAGCAAAGGCAGCCGGCGCCCGACGCGCAGAGGTGCAGGCGTGGCTGGGGCAAGGATGCCGCTGAGACCGGGCTCAGAGCGCGCAGGCCCTTCCCCTCCCCACGCCCCCAGGCCTGCGCCAGCTGCACCCGGGGTCTGCGGAGGGCCTCCCTTCTCCCCCGCACTCCCCCGGGCGGTGCAGATTTTCCTGCAGCTCCCGCCCAAAGTGCCGCGGCGACGCCCCGCGAGGCAGGTCCGGGCGGCGCGCCGGGCGCTTTCAAGTCCCGGGTCCCGGACTTGCAAGTGCGGACCTGCGCCCGGTGCGGCGGCGGCGGGAACATCTGCCCTGGTGCGCCGACTCGCCGCGCCCCGAGGGGGGCTGGACCGGTCCCGGCCCGCTTTCGCTGCACCGGCCCCCTCGCCCACTCCCAGGGTCCCCTTTCCACCACCCCCATCCCCAAGCTGTTCCCAGGGCTGGGCCTCAAAGGCGCAGCTACCTCCCACGAGGCCTGTCAATCTCAGTCCCTTTCCACCCACACGACCCAGAGCTGCGGCAAGAAGAATCTTGTTCCGTCATTGTCTTCACGGTGGCATTCCCGAGTTCAGGAATCCTCCGGGCTCCCTGATGGAGCAGGGGGACACCCCCCACCCAGCGACACCTGGTCCCCGGAGGACACACCCTCCCCATCCCACCTGGCGCTCACCCTCTCTTCCCCATGTGGGCCCTTCCCACTTCCAACGCCTCCTCCTCTGGCAGGACCTGGGAGCTCTACCTCTAACTCGTGCTCTTGCAGGCGCAGGCCGGACGCGTGGAAGGAGAATTAAATGAGAAGATGCAGGTGAACCCGTCAGCACAGGGTAAAGCACTCAATACAGGTGAACCTCCCTCCATCCCACAAATACTCAGCGAAGAGAAATGGAAGGAGAGTAAACTGGGGGGTGGTGAGTGCGGAATAGAGTCCACAGGTAAGGAAATGTAACATTGTACACCTGAAGCTGATGCTATTAACCACTGGTACCTCAATACATTTAATAGCTTTAAAAATATTCAGTGAGGGACAGGCCCACAGCAGGCACAGCACAAGTTTACATTCTAAGGGAGGGGAGGGGGCCCGTCACCCAGCATGAAAATAAGGTGAATCTCAGAGAACAGAAAGTACTACAGAGCCAAGAAGGTGATGTTGAATGATGGGTGGACTAGTTTAAGTAGAGAGCTGGGGACAGGTTTCAGCGAAGCAGGACACGGCTCTACAGTTTACAAGTCTTTCACGTCCCATCCCAGTATTTGAGGAGCACGTAGGAAGGGGCAGACAGGAGGTGCAAAGTAAGGTTTATTTGGCCCTAGTCTGGGGATTCATGCCTCATGACAGTAGCGTTGGCCTGGCCTGGCCTGGCCCCTGCAGGAAGGCACCCTGCTGCATGGGTACCACCTACCTCCTGTGTCTGGCTCTCTTGGTTTTGTGTACAGACTAAAAGGGCTATGTGATTTGCTGGGCCCAGTGAGAAATGAATATGTGTGTGGGGGTGTCCCCTTGTTCAGAGTGACTAGGAATTTTAAGATGGCAACCACAGGGCATTATACCAAGTGTGGGGCCCTTCTAAGTTCGGGGACCTATGTCCCTACACAGGTTGCATGCCCGTGGATCTGGCTTGTGCAACAGAATTCAGAAATAGTGTGCAAGCCCCTGCCCCCACTGGCTGCTATGAGAAGCATCCCTCACGCCTTCTCCAGGCCTCCCTCCCCTCTTTTCCAGCTTAAAGCCCAGCACAGGTGATGGAAACAGCGCACAGAGGCTAAAAATACAGCCGAGCCAGTCTAGGTCAGGGCACTTAATGGCTCAAGGTCTTTTGCTCAGCTATGCGGTCCTGGCCCCTGGCAAGGAGCAGTCTCAGAGATTCATTTCAGTGCTTCACATGCCTTGGTCGGTGAGCAGCTTTATTTCATGGAAAGAGTGAGGACACGGGCTGTAGCCCCTGGGCCTTCAGGAAGGTGGTGGTGGTGGTCTGTTTGCCTCCTGTGTTCTGCAGTTGGACCCTTGGATTCCTCCGTGGGCGGCTGGATTTGCCAAGAAGCTGGGAGAGCTCTGGTCGGTGGCTCGGTTGGTTGGAACGTCATCCCACACATCAAAAGGTTGCGGGTTCGATTCCCGGTCAGGGCACATACCTAGGTTGTGGGTTCGATCCCCAGTCTGGGGATGCATGAGAGGCAACCAATTGATGTTTCTCTCTCACATCAATGTTTCTCTCTCTTTCTCTCTGTAAAAAAATCAATAAACGCATCCTTCAGTGAAGGTTAAAAACAAACAAACAAACAAAAGAAACAGAGACCTCAGCTGGTTGCATTTGATGATCCTGGTTGGGGTGACTTCTGCTCACAGGGCAGTCATGTTGTAAAGCGAGCACTGGATGGGGAGCCTGATTATAATAATAACAACCATAGCAAACATTTACTGAGGGCTCGACTAGGTAGGGTGCAGTGTTTGGCATTGCATTTCACACAATCCTCCCAATAGCCCCTATGATGGAGGCACCTTTACCATTCCCCTCAGACAGGGATGTTAAATGGTTCATCCTCAGGTCATACAGCAGTGGAGCTGGGCTTTGAACCCAGGCAGTAAGGACTACAGGACTATGCTCCTAGTCGCCATGGTGAATTGGCTTCTTGTCCTTATAGGGTTCTGGCGACATGTGTTTACTGAGTGATCCATGGCCAAGATGAGGGTGAGAGGTGAGTGAGGCGTTCAGCTGAGGCACAAAATTTCAGAAAGCCCCCCAACATTCAATAATTAAGATAAAGAACTCAGTATCCTATAATGGGTTAAAATATGTTGAATCTACTTCATAAACAGTTTTAATTTAATATATTTAAAAATCTAAATGAATGACAAAAAAATTCAAGATGAACGAAATATTAAATTTTTAAGTAAAAGCAGGATATAGATTTCTGATTTTCCTTTAGGCCCAGGCTCAGCTCAGTACAGTACTGTTACTGATCCTGTCTCCCAGCTTTCTGGGCCAGGCAACTAGTGATGGAAAATTCAAGAGAAGTAGTAGTTTGCTGTTCTGATGGGCGTGAAGGGAGAGAGAATTTGGTTTGAACATAATGAGTTAGAGGTGTCTGCGGGACATCCAGGTGACCGTGAGTCAGGTGAGAAGGGGTAGCAGGGCGGGCAGGGTGCCCTGATTTCGTATGCTTGGCCCATGATGGGTGCGTACTCAGCACATGTGGTCTAAATCACTGGTCCTCAGAGTTTGCATCATGGTTCAGGAATCTTTGCAAATTCTCTCATCCAAAATTTTTCTCTTTTTTCCCAAACCTTCTACATCACAAACCTCAGATATGTTCCCATTTGGGTGTGGAAGTTTACTGCTTGGGTGTTAAAATCAAAACATCTTCTGAGAAGATTAAAAAACAACTCAATTCCACTAGAATTTGGGAGTTGGGCAAGAAGGGGAAAGACAAGAATTAATCTAAATTGGCTCCATTTCTTCTTTATTAATGGATCCTCCAGCAAAAGAAGAGGAGCTAAGAGAAATTAAAGAGGAGAAAGGTTGTAGGAAAGGAAAAAAAGAAAGACGAAACATTATAGGAGCTAAAAATACAGTGAGGAGAGCTTGGCTACGCATCAAAGAAGGGCAGATGTGTTTCCAAATAGAAGCGGTGGTTTAGAGATGTCAGGAAGCACAGCTCCAAATGATGGGTGGAAAATAAAAGTTATTTAGACTGAGCTCAGCAGAATAAAAAAGGTTCAATGGTGACTCAAACTGAGGAACAGGCCGCTGAGCAATATGGAAGCCCTAGTGCCTCAACCCCAGGTTCGAGAATCAAGTGTTGGCACCAACAGTGGAAACTCTTGCCATGGTGTCAGGACCCTGAACCGAAGAGTCTTTCCATCTTGACTTTGTAATTCTGAACAACCTTTGATGGAACAATCGCTATTACAGACTAGTCACTTTTCTTCGCGTATCCTCGGGTACCCGCATCCCTTTCCGTCGAATGAAGCATGAATCATTCCCACAACCAGGGAGACATGTACCTTCTGTAAATATCCCACTTCTGTGAGGTCGATGAGTCTGACCAATGCTTAGTGAAGATGGATCATAGGAAGAGAAATGTGGCGAGACGCAAGCCAGATCAGAATCCTTCCACTTCCAGAGGCCCATTGCTTGTCCTCATAGACCAGATGGATGCCCAGGAAGGACCTGAGATGAAGTCCATATCAAATACTGGGTTATGTCACTCAGACCCTGGGCATCAGGGGCTCAAGAAAGAGTCAGACGGGGGAATGGGCCACAATATTAATACTGTTAATAAGAACATGACTTGTTGAGTGCTTGTTATGCACCAAGAGCCATACCAAGGGCTTCACATGCATAGTCCCATTTCATCTTCCCAGTGGTCCTAGAGGAGGCACGATTTGCTACCCCATTTCACAGATGAGGCAAATAAGGTTCAGAGATGTGAATTCACTTGCCCATAGAGAGATGGATCTGGGATGTCACCTCCGACAGACCAACTCCTGAGCGCAGAGGAAGCCTCCTGACAAGGCCAGGTAGGACTAGAACTGGGCGCAGGTGTAGTACGTGGATGGGCCGACCAGTCATAGCTGGCAAAGAGCAAGGGTGGAGTGGTGTACAGCTTGGTTGCGTCCAGCTGTTGTTGTTGGTTACCAGCTGTGGGGCATGGTTCTTGAGCAGTGTGTGCCTAAGTTTCCTCAACTGTCAAGTAGGGATGGCAACAGTGTCCAAATTCATAAGACCATTGGTGTCATTTCAGGGGATGACGCTTGTAAAGTGTCTAAAACAGTGCTTGGCCTGCAGTAGGCCTTCAATAAATACAGATTTTACTGACGTAGGAGAAACAGCACAGGCCAAATGACGCTGGGTTAGTTCCAAGGAACGTCAGGGTTTCTTGTTGGGGTTCAGTCTATGGAAGGGAGAGAAGGCAGAATTTACTGGAATTTGAAGAGTCTCAGCCGCCGTCCATGTGGCCAGAAGCAGGAGCTATAGAGCGCCCCTCGGAGCCAGAGCAATGCCACTTGGTCACTGAGGGCAAGACCTAGGAAAGTAAGTACAACAGATGAATGGGAAGGCCACCTCAAGGCTGGGAAGAAGAGAAACAGAAGAGCTACTCCCAGGATGCCTTTCTGGCCCGACTTTCCCCTTCTGTCCCCTCCGCCTTGCAGAGCAAAGGGAGACAGTAGCCCAAGAGCCTGGTGCCGCCTCTCTGGGATTCGGATGCTTGCCTGCCCCGTCTCCAGACATTCGCAAACCCTTCCCGAAGACAAACCCTTTCCAACGCCCTGCTCTAAAACTGACCCACCTCTCTGGAGGTGAGGCCAGGGCTCGCGGCTGAATGGGCCCCATTGTCCTCCCGAGCGTCTGTGGGTCCACCTGGAGGCGGTTCTGCCACGGCCTGCGGTGCGGTCTGCCTGCAGACTTTGATTCACTCCAGGGACAACACTCGAAAAAGAAAAAAAAAAAAAAAAAAAGAAAAAAAAATCAAACGGGCAACACATGCGATTCCAGGAACGCCGGCCAGACTCACACTCTGTTTTTCCATCATTCCGCTCTCCTGCCCCCGGGGGGAGGGCGCCTCCTTGGGCATTTTGTGTATGAAAAAAAAAAAAAAATCAAAACCACCATCAGGACGAGCACCTGATAAGGAGCGAGGCATTGCCCAAGAGTTCCCAGGAAGAGGCGTCTTTGTTCTCGTTTCAAGCCCTTGACACTGCTAACAGCTCTAATTACGGCATTTGCCATGGGATGTAAAATAAAACCACATTCCAGAAACCCGTGTAGTCTCCCGGGGAGAGACACGGAGAGAGAGGTGCCCAGGGCTGCAGGAACGTGTTCTTTCGTTTCTGGTCCCTAACCTTGGCAGCCACGCGGAGGATTTCAACAGTACCTTCTTTATGTGCAGAAGGAGGGCACTTCTGCACGTGGAAGAATGCACCTCCCTCCCTGGACCCACAATCTGCTCTGCATTTCTGACTGCGTGGCGTGCAAAGCGTCCACTCCTTCAGAACGCGAGGACCTTCCGAACTCACCCAAGCCATTTGGGGGGAAATGAGGACTTCAGAAGTTCCTGGGGCTGGGAAGACAATAAAATAGAACTCCTTCCAACTTAATTTCACTATAAAATTTGATGATGTAACACCCACCCACACCCACATCACAAAACAAAGTGACATCACAAATACTAGAGATAATGGCTCAAACCTGCCTGCATATAAGCCAAAACCTAAGCAAACTGCAATTTGCCCATACGTGACTTGAGGCAGAGAAAGATAGGTGATTTGATAGATCCAAACAAAACAAAAATAAAGAGAGAGAGAAAAGGAAAAGAAAATACATATTTCTTTCCCCTTGCTAAAATAAAATTTAAGGCAACCGAAATATGGTAAGGTGATTTAATGTTCTTATAGATGGCCTTTCTTAGAAAGCCAGGTTTCTCTCCATGAGGGATTCTGATCTATCCAGATTATTCTCTTGTTCTGGGCTGGTCCGAGGAAATAGAGGCATCGTTTTCATTGTGCCTTTACCTTTATGGACCCCAGAGTGTGTGTCCCTGGTTCGCAGCTTTTCTTGGCTCCTGGCCGTCTGGTTAGAAAGTGTTCAGGGTTTGGCAGGACTTGACCTGGCTGAGGAGTCACTACAGGTCCTACAGGAATCGGAAGTGATCCTATCTCCCATCCTTTTCCTGCCACGGCTCCCCTTAGCTTTCCAGGAGACAGGAACTGTCTTTGGTTCCTTGTAAAGCTCCCTGCCCTTCCACTTCCGGCCCAAGCCTGCGATGTTCTTTGAGAGGCAGACTGTCCCCGTGACCCTGGGACAAAAGGCTTTGGGGAGAAGGAGAGAGGATGTGTAGAAAGATTTCTAAGACAGGTGTGGAAGAAATAGATGTGAATACTTTGCCTCCAAAGTAGACCTTCTGGTCTCTGCTTGAGAATTGGTCTTTTTTTGTCCCCTCTCCCCCTCCTTACAATTCTAGCACCCAATCTATGTGAGGCGAGACCCCAGCATCCCCACCTACGGACTCCGGCAGTCTATCTTACTGAACAGCAGGCTTCAGGACTGCTATGTGGATTCCCCAGCTCTCACCAACATCTGGACGCCCAGGACATGTGCAAAGCGCACCGTCAGTGCCCCAGCACCAGGGACCACCTCTTCCTGGGAAGTTGTCAAGAATCCGTTCATTACCAGTTCGCTCTCCCTGGTTAAGCTGGTGCTCAGGCGACGACTGAAGGATCAGTGCCGCCCGGTACCATGCAAGTCTGGGGAAGCACAACCCTCGAAGCTAGTAGAGCCCAAGGACGATTCAGCGATGAAAGCCACTCGGCGGGGCAGGATGAGGAGCTCCGTCAGCTCCCAGAGCAAGCAGCCCCTAGGACAGCAGCCGGGCTCACCGAGGCGCAGGAGGCCTGCAGGAAGCCACAACGAGGTAGATGACGGCTGGCGGTGGACAACCTGTGATGGGGTGGGCACAGGGAGATGTCAGCTAGAAGACACTGAACACTTAAGAGGTTTATATGAGCCGGGCCGGGGTAGCTCAGGGGTTGAGCGTCGACCGATGAACCAGGAGGTCACAGTTCGATTTGCGTCGGACACATGCCCGGTTGTGGACTCGATCTCCAGTCAGGGGCGTGCAGGAGGCAGCCGACCGATGATTCTCTCTCATCACTGATGTTTCTCTCTCTCTCTCCCTCTCCCTTCCTCTCTGAAATCAATTAAAAAAGTATTTTTTTTTTTTTTAAATAAAGGTTTTTATGACGCGAAGGAAATCCTAAAGTTGAAGACAGGATTGAGGGGGTGAGGGTAGAGGGTGGGTGGGCAGCAGCAGTGAGGTATAATGGAGAGAGCACCAGCTCTGGGGGCACGATATTTACACCCTGCCTGCTAGGATTGACTATATAGGAGGGCGAAGTAGCTCTTATAAACACAGGTGAAAGGTGCTGGACATGAAGGGAAAAAAAGAGCGGGAAAGGCCGGGATACGTGTAGAGCACACACGCTGGTCATGCACAGGTGACCAAGGCCCGGCTATGAACATCCATGGAGGACTCGGCATCTAGAGGCCTGACCTGAATCCAGCGCCCTCTCTCCTGGTGGCCAGCGGGGCTCAGCATGCGCCCTGGAGCTAGGCTGTCGGGTTCAAATCCCAGCTTTGACTATAATTCAGGACAACACTGGGCTTGGCCTCTTTCTGCCTTGGTATTTGTCGTCTACAAAATGAGGGGCAATAGCTCTTTCCTCATAGGGTTTCGTGAGGATTAAATGAGTAAATACGTGCAAAGGGCTTTTGAACAGAGCCTGGCACAGACTGAATGCCTAGGATCCCGTCGTGGCATTCAGTAGACAACAACTGTGGTTATTAACTTTCCAGCTGTGTGGCCCTGGGCAAACCAATTCCCGCTCCCTTGCCTTTAAAGCTGTCTCCTGCCGACCTTACAGGGTTCTGGGGGGGACACACGCAGTGGTATACACGGAGGAATTCGGTAAGCTCGCACACACTACTAGACGAATGTTAGTTGTGGCTGTAACCAAGACTCTGGGACACAAATCCCAGATAATTATTCCGAGCTCCCTTCTCAAGTTTTAGCTTTGACTTCTCTGCTTTCTTCCTGGCCAGAGTAAAGAAAGTTCAAAGGAGGAAAAAGTAACAGTCAGCCAAGATCTTGAGAGCAGATATGCCGAACATGTGGCCGCCACCCAAGCGCTACGCAGGGACGCGGGGACAGCAGCCTGGAAGGGCCAGGCGTTGCTTCCTGAAGCCAGGAAGAGACAACAGTTGTCAGACATGCTAACCATCCACGGCCTCCCCACAGAGGGTTACCGGGCTCTGTACCATGCTGTGGTCGAGCCGATGCTGTGGAACCCTTCGGGGACCCCCAAGAGGTACAGCTTGGAGCTGGGCAAGGCCATCAAACAGAAGCTCTGGGAGGCTCTGTGCAGCCAGGCTGCCACCCCTGAAGGTGCTCAGAGGGACTCGTTGCCCGTCAGGACGTGGCTGGAGGTCGACAAGGAGCCTGTGCCCAAGAAGTGGCCCAGGTTAAAGAGGGAGAAATAGAAACAGGATCGCACAGATGAGGCTGTTCTCTGCTAGATGTCTAAACAATAAACACCACTTTGCACCTTTCCGGTCATCTCCGAGTGCGCCACAAGTTATTAACCACCCCCCCCCCCCCCCCCCGCCCGGAAAACCTGACAAATGGGTACAAGATTCATTTCCCCTCCACTCTCATGAGCAGGTCATTTTGAGGGCTAGGTGCTTGGGGCTTTTTTCCCTCCAAGCCCCTTTCTCTTGGGGTTTGAGGGTCTCTGTCTTCCAGGTAGGAAAGATCCTGGCAGAGAAACCCGATGGTCTACTGGTATATGCAGCCTATGTTCCCAACTTTTAAAAAGAGGACTGCTAGGATTGACCATCATGTCCCTCCCTCTCGCCCTCCACCCGGAAGAGCAGAAAAAACTACCATCACCTCAAGGACATAATTCCATGATGCCACCGAAATCCCCAATAACCTGAACGCTATGTTAACCAAAGAGGAAATGATATGGATGCTCCCACGAGCGAGCTGAAGTTAAAGGCACTGATTCAGCTCTAGCCGGTTTGGCCCAGTGGATAGAGCATTGGCCTGCGGGCCAAAGGGTCCTGGGTTCGATTCTGGTCAAGGGCACGTACCTTGGTTGCAGACGCTTCCCTGGCCTGGTTGGGGCTCCTGTAGGAAGCAACCAATCGATGTGAGTCACATCGCTGTTTCTCTGTCTTTCTCTCTCTCTTCCACTCTCCCTAAAAATATCCTCGGGTGAGGATTAACAAAAAAACAAACAAAAACCATCAAAAAAGGCACTGCTTCATGCAAACCTCTCCTTTGTGGAATGTGTAGACCTTTACCCAACAGAGCGATGACAACATAGAACATGTACTTGATAAAATTGTATTTTTTTTTTTTACAGTCATTTGTACAATTTGTTACAAAAACCATAGAAGACTACAACTTGTTTTAAATCATTTTTGGTCGGCAAATATGTAAAATCTGTGTGCAATTATCATGTATTTACAGGGCCTCATGTTAGTCATTTTCAATGATTATTCCAACAATGTCACACTCTCAACATAAGACATGGCTTAAGATAAATATATTAGTAAATAAATATTCTGAGAACATATTTCCATAAATGAAATGTGCTGCTATACATATACAGAATATACATAAGTTGTTTTCTAGCCTTTTAAAACATTTTTAAAAAATGGTAATGTTGGAGAAGGAGCCCTTAGACCGTTTTATTACAAAATCTTTACAGCAAAGTCTTTACAAAATATCTTTTAAGTGCTATGGGAGAAAATTTTTTTAAAAAAAACACATTTTAAAATAGTGCCCTGTTAGACCCAACACAATAGAGTTTACATAAAGAATAGAAAAAGGCAGTTCTGTTTAAAAAATAGTACTCTTGATTAGTCATTATCTTTTAGGCCTCATTTTAAAAGCATTAGTCCTGCAGGAACTTTTGAGTAGAAACTAGCAGCACAAAAGGGAGAGTCTGAGCCGCGGGACAGCAGGTGGGGCTTGAACAAATGGCTTGGGTTCAAAGGCGAGGGGAAGAGGCTGAGTTGAACCTGCCTCCTGGGGCTGTGTCTGCAAAGAGGTACCTTACTGTTGAGAACTCCCAACCCTTCCCCCCGCCCCACACCCCACGTGAACTGGTTCTAGCCCTCTTCAGTTTACATCTGCTGTCACACAAGGGTTGGGCCATGGAACCACACCCAAAGGTCACACCCTGGCAGGGGTTGGGGGTGGGGGCCGATGTGCTCAATGGAAAATGTGATGCCCCGTTTCCACAGCTCCGTCAGCCCCACACACCACGGAGGGGATCACTGAAAACGGAGCTTTATCAGTAGCGGAGTCTTACAACTTCACAGAAGATGTTTTGATTTCAATGGTGAGGCAATACTCTAGTTGGTTCCTTGATTCTGGTGCCCTGCCCGTCGGTCGGATAGGCCAACACGAATTTAAGACAGTGGCTGATATTGAAAAGTTTCAAAATGTCCTTTTTCTGTCTCTACCACCCTGCAAACTACCAACATGAAATGTGCTTCTTTCGCCATCTGTAGTTATTGTTCTTTCGAGTGAAGAATTGGACACATTTATTTGAATAAGCCCCGTGGAAGCCACATTCTTCCCTCGTCTATTCATTGCTTAAGGCTCTGAGGAGTGGTTTTTTGGTTGTTTTTTTTTTTCCAGCTGGGGCTTTAGCCACTCTGGGGGTATGATTTCAGACAAGGAAGATAATACGCACTCCAAGGCATTAAAAACAAATAAAACCACAAACAACAACAACAAAAATCTCAACAATGAGGAGCTGCTTTTTGCAGTTCATGTTAAAAGCCATCCCCTCACCCCCCCCCCTCCCCAAAACCACGTAATGCAAGCTGTTGTCCTCAGCAGCTGCTGGTCCTGGCCCGAGAAATAAAGGCGGCCCAGATCACATGTCAACAATTCTGGCGCTTCTCACACCCTCGCCAACAGGTGTGCTGGGCACAGGCCCGCGGGGAGCAGCCCCCGCAAGGGACTGCACCTTCAAGGCTGGAGGACCAATCTCATCAAATGGCAAATGGGTGAGTTCCTAAATGGCAAATGGCTCCATCATCTGACGCTGGCATTTCCTGGCTTGTCGAATCCTGGCTTGGAGTTAAGTACGTTTCCTCATCACAGGCTGAGGATTTTAAGAAAAAGGGATTCTGATACAGTGAGTTTCTCATTCCAAATGTTCGGGTCTGGACCCCAGAGCTGCTGACCCCAGAGCCTAACTGGAGAGGAGTCATCACAGCCTCCTGGCAACCAGGATGGCCTCTAGCTCCCACCTACAGGGGCCAGCTCCCAGGCTATCTATTTCACAAAGGAGCTTTTCAGGTGGCACCAACTATCTGCCGACTAAGTGAGTAAACAAGTGACCAGAAGAGTTAGTGAACTCGGGGCTAATGTGATGAGTTTCTTCTAAAAATAGTTTTGTTTTTTTTTTAAGAACAAGAAATACATTGGACAAAAAGGATGACAGTCAATCCCTGATCTGAAATAGCTTTAAATAGATTCTCCCCTTTATCATGGAAACATCTTTTTAAAAATGGGTTTTTATTTTAAGCTCTCCCTCCCTCTTTTAAAAAACAACAACGAAAAGGCTGGAAAAATATACAAAAACCTACCCTTTGGGTCTAAACTATCTGATAGTCTCTTTCTCTCTCTGTCTCATGGAGAACCAATACGTAATAGTGCATTAGGTAGAAAGGATAGTAGACATTTTGCAGGCGAGATGAGCAATTTCAGCCACGAGCAGAGGGCTGAATAACCCTGAAGTGGCGCTTCCGTAGGGAGATGGATGGGAACCGTATCATTCAGAGCTTAGCGTAGCCCCGATGGGGTCCTGGCCACGAGCCCCCCTCTACCCCCGGAAGGCAGCCCAAGGACGCAGCAGCTCCATCGCATCCTCGGTCCCCAGCCCCTTCAGACACCAAAGCCGCAAACTACATTCCTCCTGGGTGCTGGTCCCCGCACAGCCCCTCGATCCATTTCTGCAGCCCCTGGGTAGCAGGGAGCCCAAGATCATGACTGTGGGCACTGGGCAGAATCACCCCCGTCGCGCCCGGGGCTTCTGCGGCAACGGCCTGGGCCCCGCTCCCCGTTGCTGCCCACCTCCTACCCCCTTCCCAGCGGTTTCCAGCAGCTGCCTAAGGTGGGCTGGAGGAATATGGCTTCGGAGACCTGACGATCTGTACATTGGGATTTGCCACGAGAAAGGCAGCATTGCATCGTTCCTCAGAGTTTGTACCCATATCGACGAGCTTTACTTCAAGTTTCTGGTTCATTTTCTAAGGCAGGTGTAGCCCTGAGCTTTTCAAAGGCCTGAGCTCCCTCCAAGGAGACAACAGTATCTACACATGATGTGGTTCAATTAACGCAGCAGTGACTTTTTTTTTTTCTTTCAGCAAAAGTTGGCGGTTAGGGTTCTTTAAAATATATATATTTAAATAACTTTTTACATTTACATAAAATATCTTAAAAAACAAAGCCGAGAACTCAATCCCACACACCTCGGAACCCCAAGCACACACACTTTACAAAACAGAAGAACATGTTATCAAAAGAGGCAAAGACTCGGAGAATTTCGTCTGTCGGTTTGTTAATGGGAGGGCGGGGGGCTTGCCACAAGGGGCTCACAGTTTGGGCTGAGAAGGAGGGCTCTCTTTATTACCACTTTTGTGTGTTTGTCAGAGCTAAAAAAAAAAAAAAAAAAAAAATTATTTTTTTTTCTGAAGAAGTCAGAGTTTGGAGTCTCCGTACAGTTCCCATTTCCACAGAGTTCCTTCCGGGCTCAGGCTCCCGTGCCGCCGCTGTCTGCTGGGCGAGACCTCTGTCCTGGGAGAGAGAGAAGAGCCGTCAGGGGGAGCCGGCGCCGCGGGCCACGGGCACAATGCACAGGGACAAGGGACTTGGCTGCCCATCCCCAGCCCGGGGCCGGCTCTCCGAAGTGACAGCTCACAGCACTGGACGGACTGTGCATACGGCAAAAGGCTTAAGCAGAGCTCCTCATGCTGTGCCGAGCACAGGTGTCTCCTAGAGAGCCAGCCTCCCTCATCTGGACCTACAGAACCTTCTGGAAGCCCTTAGGTAGCATGCAAACACCATGTTCAGAAGATGTGCATCAGGCACTGTTGCAGGCACTGGGGAGAGCAGGGAGGGGAGAAGAGACCCCCTCACCCCCTCATAAGCTTACAGGCCTCAAAACAAAGTGATTTTGGGTTGTAATAACCTGGGAAGGACACAGGGTGTGAGATAACCTCAGAGGTAGCTGGAGGGAGTCATTTAAACTGAGATCTGGGGGAGCAGCAGCAGAGAGGTCTGGAGGCTAGAATGAGCTGGAGGAATGTTGGAGGAACAGGATAGCGGCCACAGGGGGGCTACATTTTCAAAATTCCAAAGGGCATGCAAGTCATTAAAGATTTTCTAGTGTAAATACATAGACTTATGTTCAAAAAAGAACACTTTGGCCCTGGCTGGGTAGCTCAGTTGGTTCGAGTACAATCCCAATACACCAAGGTTGCAGGCTTGATCTCCAGGTAGGGCACACACAGAATCAACC